AGCGACCTAGATGAAGAAGAAATCTCCATTCTCTCCGTCAAAGGAGAGGTATTTCTTCTCTGTCTCCTTTAATTGATCATACTCCTATCGTGTTTACTTTAGTTGCTTAGGGTTGAAGAAAGGAACCCAATTTCAGAAGAAAAAAAGATTTCATTTTTTTATAGAATTTCCTTCTCATGGGCATTTGATGTGATCCCCCTTAAGTTAGAATCTAGATTAAAGAATCTTTTATTACCATCGTTTGGAAACACAACGTACAACAAGGTGGAATATGCATATCGTAACAATTAATCAAAATTAATCAAAATTAGAATAATACCTTGAACACTTTCTTATCTTTTGTAATCCATCTCCCAAGATCTACCTGAAAAAATTTCATAACTTTCTCAAGATAAAAAGCCTCCAATTGAAATTCACCCGTCACCGAAGAAGAGCAATACTCAGAGATAGGATCTCAATTTTTTATTTTTTATTTTATTTTTCTTTTTATTCATAAGATTTTGTGTATCTTCATAAGGCTACATATGAACCTTATATACAGGAATATACATGATTAGACTAGCCTTATAGATTTTAATTTTAAACAATTCATAATTGTTCAAAACTCTATTCATAACAATTAAAGATAGAATAGAATTGTTCAAACACTATATCCATAATAATTAAAGATATAAGAGAATTTGTATTGCTCGTAAACCTCTTCTAATGATATTATTTTGACCAATTAGGTCTCATATCGAGAACTAATTATTAATCAAATTAATAATTTTAATTTAATAGTCAAATCCTTATCTGACCAACTGTTCATAAAAACTCTTCTATAATATGAGATTAATTATTTATAAATAATATCTTACATTTAGCCACATTCAGTATCATTTATTTTAGGCAACTCTTTTGAGCAGGAGAATTCGCCTTCTTGTTCATGTCTAAATTACAATTCATTTAAACATAAATAAAAATTATTTTAAAATATTAAAATATTTTATTTTTATAAGAAAATAAATTTTAAAAAATATTTTTCAAAATCACTTGCCTGTGGGAATTTAATAACATTATTGAATCACATAATAAATTAACCAAGGTTGTTGATAGCGGATCGCGGCGCGTCGCGGCGAGGTACCGCTAAGGCTATTGCGCGTTATTGCGGCGAAATAGCGGTAAATAGCGCACTGTCAAATAGCGGTCAAATATAAATATATTTAAATGTTCTAAATAATAAGAAAAATCAAATAAAAATCTAAAAATTCTACAAATGCATAATTGATAAGCTTGTTGTATGAAATATGAATGAACTATGAAGAAATAAATTCAAGAAATATAGCATCTAATTAGTTAAGGGAAGTCGATTACCTGTTTCTCTGTTGCAGACGAAGCCGCTGCCAACAGAGATGGAGATGTTGTCGTCGGAGCCTGGAAATCTGACGATCGTCGGAGCCTGGAAGTCTGTCGGTCGGAGCCTGGAGGAGGAGGATGTTGTCGTCGGAGCTTGGAGGAGGAGGAGGAGGAGCATGGAGGTGGTGGAGGAGGAGGCAGCTAGGGCTTCGTTGAAGGGGTTCGGGAGACATTACGTGAGAGGCG